AGGCTGACACATTGTCCAGTTTTAAGACTGGGCCATAGACTACTGTTGTGGTCTCTCAGCTGAGGAAAGTCTTACAGACCCCCCCCCCCCCCCCCCCTCCTGGCCAGCAGTGACATTCATGCTCAGGAATCATCCATCTGTTAGGAAAGGCGATGCCAAAAACACGTCTGTGTTTCCGCCTCTCTTGGCTCATCCCTTGGATCGGTGGAGTTACGGAGCGAGGGCGTCCTCCATGACCTTCCAGCATCCTGCCCTCTTGGATCAAAACAAACTCCCCCGGTCTTAAACAGAACTCAAACCAAAGCATCGTTTGAACAAAGCCTTGAAATTGTTCTCGTCTGAACACGCGCTCGTTTATTATCAGCACGTTTATCTTGTTTTACATGTTTTTTAATAAAAGCGCCTGTTTTCTTTTATTAATACATCTCTCCTTCCTTCTTCTCCATGCTTCCTCGACCTCGTTCTTCCTCCTCCAGACTCTCATGCAGGTACGTTCGTGCTTTTTTTTTTATTATTATTATTCTTTCTGAACATTCAATTTATAGAAAAAGCATCCTGGACACCACTTTCCATTTCAAAGCTACTCATTGCAAAATCATAAAGAGCAATAAAAAACAACATTTATCTCAAAGTAAGAAACAAAATCTGCACGTTTTTCCTCATATTGTTGGTTAAAAATTTAAAAACCTCTCAACAAAATCTGTTAAAGCGACTGACCACCACGTGCTCGTTTTACCTGCGGAAACAGCCGAAGTGGCGGAAAATGAGTCCACATCTATAAAAGAGCTGTTTTGGGGTTAAAGGTCGTGTTGCGTAGTTACACTCAGAGTTGTTGAGGAACGTCTGCGGACAACGATGGAAACTGGTTTAGCCTAAGTTTCAGTAAAAGCTGCGAGTTTAAATCCCGAGCGCCCTGCTTGGTCCTGGACATTTATTCATCGCTGCTTCTTCTTTCTCTCTATGTGTTAGCAGAATCGCTGCCGTACTTCCACCTAAAGTCTCCCCTGCACGTTAAATCTGTTCACGTCTACCGTGTTTGTTCCCGTATTCAGACCGCGTCGTGCGGGCCGACTTCGAGACTCAAGCTTTCGTTTGGTTTAACAGATTCAGACACGTGCTTTGTTTACGTCGAGTGCTGACCCGTATTTCCAAATTGCACGTGGATCTGTCTGAGGAACTGCTGGAGTAAACTCAAACTGCACCGTTATACTTCAGGATGAGCTTTTTGAATTTTAATTTCGTAGTTTGCAATGAGTACCTTTAAGGCATTTGCAGATTTCGTCAGGAAAAGTAGGAGGTGGGTTGAATCATGTTCATGTAATCAGCGTTCCTGCACAATTTTAAAGTGCAACGTAATATTTTTCAGGTTTACTAAAGTTATTTACATAAACGTAACAAGCACCAGAGTGTGAAACATCATCTCTAAGTTGAAATAGACGTTGTATTCTATAGGTTGAGATAAATGATTATATTCTGATTGAAGCCTGTTAGTCACATTTACCCAAAACATAAAGTCCAGGTTTATTTATTCATAAAAACACATTTAAAATCCACCGTCTTTTGCCAAAGGGACGTCTTCGTGTTCACAATAAGAAAATAAGACACAAAAAACAACAAATAGAGAAAATAAGTTTAGTTTAACACTTAAATGTCAAATTATTAAAATTATTTAAAAAAAAGTATGATCTGATGCTGTTTTAAATCAAAATAAATACAAATCATACTTTTTTTTTTAAATGCTAAAAGGTAACAAAGTTGAACTAAACGAGGATCAAGAGATCAGTTTTTTCATTTTGTCATTTAGACCTTAAATGTAAATTTAAAAACTTATATTTATTTCTAGATGAATAGTTTCTCACTCTACCGAAGTCCTAC